ATCATGTACCATCATGTACCATCATGTACCATCATGTACCATCATGTACCATCACGTACCATCACGTACCATATACCATTGATTATATCATCACTCATTACCTACAATGCCATTTCATACTGGCTCATTTACATCAATTATAATTTTAGAGGCACCTTGTGTGTCGAACAAGCTTATGAATAAATCTTGCCTGATATTAGTCGTTCATCATCGTTTTTTTTTACAACTTTTACTGGTCATCATACGCTAAGTCATACATTAGGATCATACACCAAATAAATAAAAGAACCAAGAATGCACCCTTCCTGAAATTGTCTTGAATGCGAGACTAACATAGAAATTTAAAGTAAAATGCTACGTATTCCATCGAGAAAAAGTGTGATTTCTTTGTGTATTTACATGTTAGCCACGCATCCACGATACTTTTAAAGAGGGTCCATTCAAGTTGCTGTCATTTTTGTCGATGTTAAGAAGAATCTAAAAACTGTTAATAACTATAAAGATTTAATCGTTATATTACTCACAATTCCTCACATGAATAACTTTTAAATTCAGCTGTACTTGGTGGTAGATTTCGAGTACTGGCTCAAAAACCTTCAATGTCGACTGCTTTTCATATTTGCTTCTATACATCGGTTCACTGTTCAAATACAAAGCATTCAACCGAGGCTCTAAGGTTTAATTGAATTTGAATAATACTTTGAAACTATCCTGTAGCCTTGGTCGAATGCTTTGTATACATTTGACCCGAGTAAAGTGAAGGGTCTTACCCGATCAGAAGGTGATGAATAACGTTAAGTTACCTATATACTCTACTATTTTAAGAATTACAAAGTACAAATCCAAGTTCTCTAAAATTGGCCTCGTCCCAAACACATTGCTTTCAAAGAGTGGGGGCTCTGAGTAGATTCAGAACTGATCCTTATATTGCACTTTGCGGGGTAGTTTTAAACATGACGATTTTTGATGCATCTCGGAATCCAGCCACAGCTGATAGCACATTAAGACTTTGAAACAAGCAACGTAAAAAGATTCGTGACAGCAAATGCGCAAAATGCTTTCACGATGGAATAAAATATGAAGAAGAACATGACGAGGTGTGAGAAAACTATATATTTGACAATATCAATGTATGTAGAAAAGACCCTGAGCGCTAAAGTAAATGACGAATAATTAGCTACCGACTATACAAGGCAAAGGTACCGATGCTCGAATTGAAATCTAGACGAAAATAAAAAGAAAGTAAAGGAAAAAAGTAAGATAAAGCCAACTGAATGCACACGACAAACATTTTTTTCCTTTCTTAAATTCTGATAATTTTCATGAAATTTTGCGTTAAATTATTTTGACTGGAGATTTAATGATAGAAACCGAAGATCCTTAGAAGGATAACACAAATCCTAGCAAAGTTTCTCCAACAAATCATTAGATCAAAAAATTGAGCACCGTTAGGTTACTAAGCAACGTATACCATCGCAACAGTCGCCTAATGGTGGCACTCTATAAGATTTCAACATTCAAGTGTAAATTAATCCATAACACCAAAGTAAAGGAGAACAACATGGGTAGGCATGAACTTTGTACAATAATTTATAACCTAATGTCAAAATTTAATTAATTAATGTGGGTGTGTCGCTAGGCTCTTTTTGCTAAATTTCCTTTAACGTGATTTAAACCTTATATATTCTTAGTTTTGAAAACCTTAAACGGTTATCAATTTCACCCTGAAACAACTTCTTGGATGATCAAAGTCAGGGCAAGGCAAACTAAAAGATCGAACCCTGAAAAAAACTCTTGGCTGATCTTAGTCAGGGCATGGCTAACTCATAGATCAAACCYTGAAACAACCTCTGGGCTGATCTAAGTCAGGGCAGGGCTAACTCACGAAACAAACCCTGAAAGAACCTCTGGGCTGATCGATCAATGGTAGGGCACGGCTAATTCACAGATCGAACTGGAATTTAAAAATTGTATAGTTTTGCGGAGAAAGCAAAACCAGAGTAAAGAAGCAGGAGAAAATAAAAAAGCCCTCGAACAAAGTACCTAACAAACCGACTCGCATGTTATGTCAGGAATCCTTCCCCAGATTCAAGAGGAGAGGCCATGCAGTGCCGTACACCACCATTGGTTCCCGCCATAAACCAAAACCAATAATTAGATAGAACTTCACCTTGTTTGTACACATATTAATCTTTAGATTTTTTCTCGGATTTATACGAATGTTTTTTAAAATCCTATATTTCCAAGGAAACATTAATTGGCCAATTAAAGTTTACAAGAGTCATTTCTTTGAACATAAATTCGGCGACAAATCAAAGTAAAACACAGTGCAAACAAAAGCCCAATGAAAAATTACTAAACTTTAAAACGTAAATAATTCAGAAAATAAAGACTTCGGACTTTTTAGTACTACTGTTAAGGGTGATTTTCATAAACCCTTCAAACATGAGATAACATTAGTTAGTGTGTGATAGTGAAATGGCAACAAAAGAAGACAATGGAATTAGGGTCTACTAAATTGTAATTTACGGGTTTATGAAAATCCCTCTAGTGCAGATTTATTGTATAAACTCTAGCAACTTTATTATACGCGATAATTGCCTACTTAGGCTTGTCATTTATTATCTGGGTTAAGTACGTCACTCGTAAAAGTGACGGCAAACTGGTAATTACGTTCTAATATCAGTGAAGTTCTTACCTGAGAGTTTCATTCCGTGCCGGCTGTCAAGGGTTCAAGAAGCTATATAACTTCAAGAACAAGAGACATACTAGGCTATAGGGTGTTATAGGACACTGAGGTAAGCAAGCCAATGTATCACTTACTTGAATAGTCCGGCATTAGAAATAGCATTGATCGTGAGGTAAAACAAAATAGACCATCGAAGAAAGGAGTGTCACTGAAAACATTGCTGGCTTATTGGGAAATAAGGATTCATAAATGTTTATGGAAAAGAATTCAAACTTCAATTTTAGCGGACCCTTAAAAAGCTGGGCCTAGTTCAGTGTAGAGCTACTCACAGATAGTGCCCTAAAACAGCTGAGCTGTCTGGGCTGATCGAAGTATGAGCACAGTTAGCCCATAGATCGAATTTAAATTTAGCGTGTTAGGTCTTATGAAGGGAAATAAAGCAGATAAACTGCAGAAAATTACTAAAGCAATGCTCTCATTAATTCAGAGAGAATCTCAAATTAAGTGTACAAAAGAGAATACGAAGATATATTTTGAAAAGCGATGGAAATTATAAAAATTTGTAGAGGAAAAAATAAATTCATTAATGAATATCGACGAGATGACGAAAATATAGTGAAAGTGATGGGATGGGATGGGTGGAAGAAAATTCAAGTTTAACCAAATTGTTATTTTTCTTATAGCTTCTTCCGTTCCATACACGTTTTTGCAGCGATTGCTTATTACTGATTCGAGGGTGTTCTCTAGTTTCTGAGGCTTTTTTCACAATAAACAAACTCTAAAAATGCTAAATTTAAATTTGATCATTGCGTTAGCCATCCCTTGTTTTAGATCAGCCTAAACGTTCTTTCAAGTCCAATCTGTGAGTTAGTCTTACCCTGGCCTAGATGAACTGAAGGTGATTCAGTTAACTTTTTTTCGGATGAAGTTGAAAGCAAAGGAACCAAACGAAAGAAAAGAAAATCGAAAATTAATCCAAATTAATATGAATGAAATGATGTTCCTTGAAGAAGATATTGCTAATGAGCAATTAACGGTAGCTTAGCAACAAAAACTGCTCATTAAAATTACATGTGATTTAACAATCGACTGTATAGAAACATAGATCATAAATATTGCATTCAAACAGTCAACACTTGTTTCAGTGTCAAAATCAGTATTTGTTTGATGTATTTCTAAATTTTCAAAAATTAAATACATAATGTATTGTTTTCTCGTTCCTTCCATACTTTACTCCTCTGTTCTGTTGTCTTCCTTTCCTTAGTCCTTTTCTTCTTTAGCATTCTGTTCCATTTCCCAAACTTACGTTTTCTTTCCTTCTTTTTTTTCTTTTTTTCACCATTTCTTAAATTTCAAAGCCTTTCATCGATTGATATAAACATCCCTAATGACGTCCAATCCTTCTTGTTTTAGTCACAATGTCAAAGTGGCTTGCGTGCTTGGCGATTCTTCTTACTATCCTGTATGCAGCTTCTGTCGAAGGTAATACTAAATTTAAAAAAAAAATTTTGACCAATTGAATATTTTACTTAAAAGTAAACCTTACGTGGTTTCGGTCTGAAAACTTAGTTATCATATTCCTTTATTAATAAACACTTCTTTCTACCACCTCTTTCTCTTTTACTCCGACGAAGGACTAGCGTCCGAAGCGTCAGTAAGTTTTTCATCTTTTCACGGTGTATAATTTACCCTTTTATCATTACTGTTTCATTAGAAACACCGACGCAACTCACACTAGTTTTTGGCTAGTTATCTCTTCATATTGAATGTATTATTGAGATAGAGAACATAGTCTATTATGGTTCAGCTTTGGAGATGCTCGAGAAGAGCGATAGATCTCTGTGGTTAAAAGTCACCAAGTCTAAAATGCATCATTATTTGATTTATTACCAACTGGAAGGAAAAGGCTACTAAGGTCTAGGGGGCACCCCTTTGTCCTACCCAAAATTAAAACTGAAAGATTCAAAAAATGTTTTATCAATAGACAACAACAACAACAACAACAACAACAACAACAACAACGTTTTATTGTACCTAGAATTACATTCATATTTATGTCAATAGATGTCTATTGGCCATGCTTAGCCGAGCTTAGCCATTTTAGATTTTTTGAATTTTATCATATATACATATAGAAATAATTTTGTATTATTTAGAGTTTTTGATTAATTATTGTAAGCTTTAAACGTTTGTTTTAAGTCGATTCAAATAAAGACCTTTATGATAATAATAATAATAATAATAATAATAATAATGATGATGATGATGATAGAGTACAAACACTAAAAGTGTGCAACACTTTGCACTATTTAGTAGTAAATAGTGCTAATTAGACAATAGAAAACAATAGGATTAGCATAATTTAGCAGTATTTAATGGTATTTATTTTACACACTTATAGTGTTTGTACTCTAATAAGTGTAATCCAACTAGCTAGTTTTCTATCATCAATGCTCCGTTCTGATTGGATGAGCTACTACTAGGCTATAAATTATAGCCTAGTAGTAGCGAAAATTACCGGCTTTGAAAAACAAAACATTAAATTTAACTTTAATTCAAAAAGTTGTTTGCACCTATATATTTGACCGACTAGTTGGATTTGACTAAAACAATAAGTCCTCATGGCCTGTGAGTCAATAATTCATTCGTACTCAACGACTAATATCTAATAATACTTTATGCGATTGCGTGTGTGTTCTCTTATTGTGTTTCTCGTATCAGGACGAAGACATAGAAGATGTTCTCCTGGTCAGAAAGTGCTTGACAAATGCAGGCGATTATGCGTCTGCTCCGCAAACAACACCTTAACACAGTGTACTCGTCAAAGGAAGGAGTTCACCAGCATGTCAAAAAGAGAGCGTAGAATGTACATCCGAACTGTGAAGATTGCCTCGACAGACGAAAGGTCTTGATTCCTTTGCCTAACCTGATATGAATATTACTTTCCCTTCTGTCTCTATATTCCTTCTTTAGGGGCGACGTCAAAACAATGGTCCAAAATAGGGACCCGATTTTATGAACTAAGGTGGTGGGTACCAGTACATATCCCCTCTCCCCTCCGAGACCTGTTCAAATTCTCGATACTGGGGGTGTGTAGTGGTAATTTCTATGCAGAAATACGTTTTTTAGCATACATGCAGACAGACAGTCTATTCATTTCTGCGATTTGGCTTTTAGTTTTGGAGATATTTGGGGACAAAATCTAAGTTTGCACTTCCAGAGGTGGTGGGTACCGGGTAACACCACCCCTCACCCTAAATCGGGTACCGTGAGATGACAATTGTTTTGCCCTCATCCCTTATGTGTTCCTCATTATTATTCGGTAATTTGTTTAAATTCTTTGGTTACACCTTTGAAAAGAATCTGGCGACTTTTATTTCATCTCACTTTATTCCTTATTTATATATGTTCTTTATTTTTATTCTGTAATTAGTTTCTAAATGCTTTAGTTACATCTTTGAAAAGAATATGGTCTTTTTAGTCTTCACCTTCTTTAAAAAAAGTTATATTTGGAGAAATAAAAGTAAAATGTTTTTTCCCATCATTATTTTCAAGATACAAGAAAGAGTACGACGACCTGATCACTCTCCACATATGGCAGTTCATGAGAGGAATCCATAACATGAAACATTTTCTCACATGGCACCGATGGTACCTTCTACAGTATGAAAACTTGTTAAGAAAAGTAAACTGCAAAGTTACCCTGCCTTATTGGGACTGGAGTATCGCTTCTGGGGATCCCTGGGGAAATGAACCCGATGATCTTTGGTACGCAGGCAGCACTGGTTTTGGAGGAGATGGCAATCCAAACAATAATCACTGTGTTAGAGATGGGCCCTTCGCTGAAGGTTCATGGCAGCTTGTTCCTGCTGCAAACCCTAGTTGCCAGAGAAGACGCTTTTATGGCTATCCTCCTGACAGTGTTGCTGTTGCTGAGATGTTGGACATCCATCCAGCTAATTTCACAGATTGGGAAGTCTGTCTGAGAATCAACTTTCATGATACTGTTCACTGTTTGATCGGTGGAACGATGTGCTCACTTGATTCATCTTGTGCTCCTGAATTCTTCTTGCATCACGCGTTTATCGATAAGGTAAGTTTAGAAATACGGGTGGAAGTTTCGGGGTTTGACTTGACTTGAGATCGCTTTCATATTTAAAAAAATGCTTTTTTTTATGGCAAAAAATGATTGCCGGTCATCCAAGTAAAGATATGAGTAGATTTAGTCTAAGGGTAATGTTGTCTAATTTTAGGCCAATTGTGGTCTTCTTGACCAATAACTGATGAAGAATAGCATGTAGTATGTGCATGTATAATATGCATGGCACATTTAGTTTGAAAAAAAAAAAAAAAAAAAAAAAAAAAAAAAAAACCATTCCAACAAATTATGAAAGGGGAAATCATTAAAAAGCATTAAAAATGCCCAATATAAATCTGCCGGTCAAGCTTTACTGGTAATGGCACAAGGACGTCTAAATTAATTTTGCATTGAACCTACTAAGGTTCTCGCTCTTTAACTTTACTGATGTTCTCCTACAGATCTGGGCAGACTGGCAAGAAAAGAGCCATGAACACAAGACAGTGTATTTCAGCTCGATCAACGAACCTCTCCCAGCGACCTATGGTGTGATGCCTTTAGAGGTAATCGACAACAATGCCTTACCAGGTGGTGTAAGAGTGGATTATCTTGATGTCAACGACACTGAAACCGCCTCTTTTGTAAGAAGACTAAGAAGTGAGTGTCCTCTTTCTGTTGTGTTCTTTTAGAGTTACTGCTAATTCCTGGACTGTGGACCTTCACCTACCCATCCCTTCCCCATCCCTCGCCCACATGCAATGATACCTTTGAATCCAAGGTTCGTGTTCACTAACCTTCTTGAATGCCCCATAACATCCCATGTTCTCTGAAGCCTGGGCCCGGTCGTACGAAGAGTGGATAGCGCTATCCGATGGATAAATCTTATCCAGTGGACAATGCAAGACGATGCTGTTGTTCAGTAAATTTATCCACGATAATGTATTTTGATTGAGCGATGAAGCAAAACGTTATCCAAACGGCATCAAAACGATAAAGACCAGTACTATTTCAAAGTAGTTTCAAAAAATTTAACCTCTTCTAGTTATCCAAATTAAAAATTTAACCTTTTCTAATATTCTTTGTTTCCAGAGCTTAAACCAAAAGAGTTACGAAAGATAGCTCGTCCTGATTTTAACGCCATCAACGAAGAATCCCTGAAGCTGTTCCATGTAGATGAGAAAGACGTCATACGTGCCAGGCGAGAGGAACGCAGAGTCAGGCCAAAGAACAAGAAAGATAGGAAAACGTTAAGATCCCGCAAGGGGAAGAGGCTTGGCCTCGAAATATCCGACGTAGATAAAGCAGAGAAGGGGGACAGGAAGAGTTTGCTTAGAAATTTGTTGTTCAGGCTATAAACGATAAAAAGATAATAAACGGTCATGAAAAARAGCATGATTAAAAAAATAATAAAATGGCTCTAAGTAAGAAGCACAATACTTACCTTTTACTGAAATATTGAGTATAGCTTAGGATTCCTCATATCTAAAATTTATCCGCCTGTCAACCATTTTCAAATAGAGAAAGACTGTACAATGTTCAATTCGATTAAGAAAATAAACGCAAGAATTGCTGGACGTTTCGATGACATCCTCATTATTTTCTTAATCAAATGCTTATCAAGATCCATACTAATGCTCAATTCAACAACATCTGTTTATGTCACAAAGCTTAAAAATGGGAGCGAAGTTGCCGATCAAACTCATCCAGGGTTATGGTTCTTTTTTTTATATGCCTGATAATTGTTTTCATAAAGTAGGGTTACTGAAGGTATCACTTTTAAATAAACAATGGTTTGTATTATAATCGTTGTCAATTTGATTAAAAAAGGAAGCAAAATGAAAAAGGAAAACAATGCACCGGGTTATGCTTTGACCTGAAACCATCTTGAAACCATCTGAAACCAGCCAAAACATTGAATCTCCATCGAGTTTGTCGTCCAGTTTGTGTATTTTATTGACTTTTATCGATCGATCRAGTGTTTGTTTTCCTTGGAAGGGATGTACTTCATGGTAGAATGTCATATAGTCGCTCATACGTATAGTCTCCCATAGAAGTATTCCACACTTATACCTCACCTCTCCCTTGCTATGATTACCTGTTCTTGACTATGATCAACCGTCCCTACCTATGATCAACTGTTCCTAGATATGATCAACTGTCACTAGCTATGATCAACTATCCCTAGCTATTTTCACCATTCTCTACTAATGGTTTCCTGTACCTATATATAGATTAACTTCCCCTTATATAGTTTAATGAACTTAAAAACTTGCAGACAACATGGCTGAATTACGTTAAGGAGGGGCTTATCCAGGATCTGTCATGTGGGGGGGTGGGCGTGAGGGTCACAACATATCAAATTGTCACTATGACATCATATCACATACTGCATCAACGGTCAGATGATTTATCTTTGGCTTTGAAAATGGGGTCACAGGCACCCCTGAGCCCCCTAGATAGGCCTATGTTAAGTTTAACAAATTTACACGTTAAAGTATGTAAAAAAATGTTCAAATTGTAATCATAGCTAGGGACAGTTGATGACAGCTAGGGATAGTTGAAAATAGCTAGGGACAGTTGATGACAACTAGGGGCAGTTGAAAATAGCAAGAGATAGTTGAAAATAGCTAGGGATAGTTGATCATAGCTAAGGGATAGTTGATCATATCATATTCAAACTTTCATCTGTCTTACAATGACTAAGTCCCAAATAGTCTTCTACTCTAGATTCAAAGTACCCAATGTGCTCAGCACATTTGACACGTTTTCCCGTGTCAAGACTTGTTGAAGATGCAAATCAAGACCAAGACAAGTGTAAGACTGGGAACGAGCACCACGAACAGTTAATGATTTTAAAAATACATTTTCATTACGAGAAGGACAATTTCTAAATTAGTAAATTCGGAAAGTTATGCTGTCATATATTAAATTCTTGAAGAGTTATAAGCATTTCAAATGTACCGAAAACGAAAATGATTGCGAGGCTGGTAAGCCTCCATGCTGTTGTTTCCATACAAACCTTTCTCATTTCAAACAGCTATAGCTTTTTATCATTCAATGCTACACCCCTGAAATTTCGGAATATCGCTAATTTTGATATACTCTTTGTAATGAAAGTTTTGTAGTCTTCTATAACTGATGACCTAAGGGATCTCAAGGGACACGCCCTCTTTCATATTGTTTATATCGTTTTCATTTTTTTCAAAAAAAAACTAGATTGATATGAATCGAATTCCCAAAACTCTTCACTTTATGAGCTGTTTTATAGCCTTGGATTTGAGTGGCAAACAGCCTTCAGAAAAATCTGATTGGCCAAGTGTCGCCCACGGAGTACGAAAGCTCGAAGAACACTAAGGCAATCAGTGTTGAAGGTGTTTAGGCTATTTTTTTGTATATGTTCTTCATGAACTTCCTTGAACTCTTGGGCCCGGTTGTACGAAGGTTGGATAGCGCTATTCAACGGATAAATCTTATCCAGTGGATAAATTTATTGGATAACAGCATCGACTTATCCCCTGGATAAGGATTTATCCATCGGATAGCGCTATTCACCCTTCGTACAACCRGGCCTTTTTCTGTCCTGCTTTCCCTATAGTCGTTTTTTGTTTGGTTTTCCACTCCACATAAATACTACTTGTGAAGTTAATAAATAAATAAAAAGATGGTTTATGTATTTTGTCAGAATACGTGTTATCGATGGAAAGCTAATATTTATTAACACTCGTGCTCCCTTGATACATGACTAAACACTTCAGTAACCATGTAATAACTCTTCTTAATCACTCTCTTTACTCTCTAATTACGGTCGTAATTATCTAATTAACATTACTTTACCAACTCATCACGCTCCTCTTTACATCTAAATCACTTGTCGTGAAGAAATATTGATTTGTCACTGATTGGAAGGCACTCAGGGAGTCAAGAACTAGAGAAGATTGTCTGTTGCGCAAGGTCGCCAAAGGTAAGAGAAAAACATATGACTTTTTAAAACAAAATGGACTTACGAGGCTGTGGACAAGTCGTGCTCGACATTCCACTGAGTCTTCTGATGTTAAACGATATGAGTATATATATATATATATATATATATATATAT